TTATATCCTCCATACTAAAGAAGACGACAAGTCGCCCCCAGCACAAAACAACAACACAGAGGCCAGCCGCAAACAGCCCCGCAACCGCCGAAACAGTCGCTAGGCCACTCGCAGCTTTTCTCAAAGCCGCCATTAATAGCCGAGAATCTTTTTGCACAGAAAGACAAAAATATGATCCTCACTTCAACAGTTCCACCTAAAAATAGGTAGATCAAGAAGCGAATAATAGAGCACGACGCAGCATACTTTGGGTTGTAGTCCCCTCCGCACGCCGCATAACTAGCCCCAGATCAAAAACGGTTCTACCCGAAATTGAAACTTTCCACCGGAAAAATCCAGCGCAAAACGCACCACAGAAGGTATCGCATAATGACACACAATCCGAAAACTGCACGAAACACTATACAACCAACCGCAGCACACCTTCGCACCGGCACCGACAGAGCGTTGATGTAGCACCTCGCAACGTCAGCAAACGCTTCCTCGCATCCAAGCACACACAGTCAGGTCACTATCCCGAAAGCACACACTCGTCAGCAATTCCACATCGCTTCAGCGCAAAATACCCAGAGCAACGCATAAAATGCGTCAAATAAAGCTTTATTCTTATGCAGAGCATACGAGTACAACCTCAATTTCTGCACGCACGAAATAACCGCTCTAAGTTTCCCCAAAGCAATAATAACGCACGATTTTTAAAGGTTTGTCTTAAAGACACGTCTTAGAAACAGCAGAACTATTCCTACAAAGACACATCTAAAAAACCATAAATCGCCAGAGTTCACTCAATCTTATCCTAAAATAAGACCGAGAAATCACCCTAAACAGCAAAGTAACGCCTCAAAAACCAACTATAATCTTAGAAACCCACACGCCATTTCCAAAATTACACTCAGTAACCGACTTGTCACCTCACATATACTAGGAAACCGTCACAAGAAAGATACTCGCTTTTGTTTACGTCGTCTTAACAAAAATTCCCGTTAATCTACAGCAGATTGACGGGAATTGATTACTGCTGACAGTTACAGACTACTCGTTTAACATCTATTTATAGCTGGAAAAGTAACCGCCGCGCCAGCAGCTAGTCAGTATCTTTCAGTTTTGTTAGAACTCAGCAGTCACCCATAAAGTAATTTACATAAATTACCCGTTCTAAGTGCGAGAAGTTATTTTACTAAGTGCGAATAGTGCCTAAGTTCGTATTTTATGGACTAAGTGCGGTATTTTATCATTAAGTTCGCGTTAGAGGACCCCCCAAAATGAACATTTTCTTGCGTCTTGGGAAGAGTATTGTAGAGTGCCCCGTAAAACTTTGTGGTGTTAAGTATGATACTAAAACACACTAACTGCCCTAAGGATTCACGTCGATTTCATTCTAGGAGTCGAGATATGTTATTTTAAGTTTTTGGGATGTCATGGATGCAAATCGTTTGCTACAGGCTCAAGAACGCACTTTTTGTATACCATGTTATTTTAAGAAAATGTCCGTTTCGATGCGCTCTTCAAAAATGTTCGACTTGCGAACCATGATTTTCTGCGTCTGTGCCACGTAATTCAGCAAAAAGAGCATGTAATGGAGTGAAATGAGAGGGTGTGTCATCTCTAAAGTAAAATCTTTAAAAGAGCATAACTTAAGAACGGCTGGGAATAGGTGGCCGTTCTTTTTACCATCATGTGCGCCTAAAAAAAGTACACTATCGTGACAATCGATATCGGTCGATATGGTATAAATTGATAAAGTTATGCTCGATTATGTACGCGAAAACAGAAAAAGGGCGCTGGTGACAAAAAAAGTACTAACGATTCTGTTATTGTTTTGATATTCTGTCATCCCAGACTCTTGCGCATCTGGTGACCTATTTTTTATTCGCCAGTTCCGAGAAAAGTGTCGTTTCGATGCGTGGTGGGCCCGGGATGACAATTCGAGTTGAGTTGGAAGTTCATGTGAAGTCCTGGAAACAAGAAAAAAAGAAGATCCACGCTTCCCTAACTCAAAAAGTCATTAGAAACCGAGGGTAGCTTGTATGGAGACTTTTGTTCCTCGTGCGCTAAAACGCCGAATTAAATTTTTTATCTATACTTAACAGGAAAAAAGTTGCCTCCTTCGCGATATATAGGCAAATAAAGAATGGGTGCTATCATTTCGGGACAAAACAGGTGAAAATTTAGGTCGAAAAAAGTGTTTATAGACAAGGCATTTGAATTTAGCCAAAATCTGACTTGACCACGGGAATGCGCGCATAAAAGCACCCCTAGGGCAGTTTTTATACGGAGCAGTCTCATTTGCTTCCTGGATGTGCAGGGCCAAACATGGCCAAAAGTGGTGATTTTGGCCGTCCAAGGTGTCCATTTTCCGCGAAAATGGCGTTTTTTGGCGTCACTAAAAAAATCATTGCGAAGCAACTACTGGAGATATGCTTGTAAAACTTTGGGAGCGGTCGTGCGAACACATGCGCCAAGTTTTCTGCTAAAGTCTGCAGGCCAGATCTGCCGGGCGGCACATAAAACCGGAAAAAACCACCTAAAAAAAGAGCATGCCAAACAAAGTCTCACATTTCGCTGAATAACTTTTGATCTAGAAGAGTTAGACAAATTCTGATTGCGGGAACGGCTCCGCCGTGTGTTTTTACATATGTCTATGTCCCGTAGATAAAAAGTACATGTTGCAAAAAAAGTACATGTTGTACATAAATCTACCTTTGATATTCGGATTCCCCGTGAAAAACTACGCCTAGGCCGCAGGGTTACAAAGACGAGTCATTGCACTTATGCCCTTTTATAGACGCTTTTAGAAATCGGCCAAAACAGTATTTATTAATTTAGACAGTGTTCCGCTGACATGTCGCATGCTGCGATATGTCCACGTGAAAGAGCACCGAAAAGCACCCCTAGAACACCCTTCATACCCGTTCTAACGGTTCTCTTTCATCTTCATAATAATCAAATTAAAGAACACCATACAAAAAACAAGATCTCGTGTGTAGTGGCTCGCCAGGCATACTAAAACCAAGATGTCGTGTGGGCACATGCCAGACATCATATCTTGCGTTTGCAAACACACGCAAAGTCGGTAAACAGCTCAAAACGGGCTAAAAAGTAAGCACCCGGACTTCCCCGGTGGTCACCCACCCGAGTACTACCCGAGCTTGAGGCTGCTTAACTTCACAGAGCAGACGGGATATGGTGCTTTCAGCCTAAGATGGCCGTCTACATTTGACTTTGACCGACACGCCTATTAGTGTTTATCACTCGTATACATTGGTACAACACATTTACACACTCACATGTCCACATACGTGGCCATAGACTGCACACGATGGCCCCCAATACCCCTTCTGGCCCTCAGAATTGGCTGGGTGGATGGCTACACTTTATATAGTAACAAAACAAAAAGGGGGGTGGTGTGGCGCACTCCAATACAAACGTGTGGCCAGCAGCTCACTCCTACAACGCAGCATACGTATTCTCTCCGATAGGAACCCCACACAGACCGACACCTTCATACACAGCAGTGCAGATAGCCGCCGCACCCCATATTTGCGCATACGCGGCCTGGAAACAATGTTAAACCACCAAAGTGGCCATTTACGACTTGCACAACCATACCTACGCTTCCTATGCGACATGACATGTGCACGTACGCGTCTTAGGCAATATGAACACCTTCGACACCTTCATACATGCACAGCGCGCGCTCCGCTTAAGTACGACACTAACTTGTCATATACATCATGCGTTTCCTCCCGTCACCTTTCATCACCTCCATATTCACACCCATGCGCCGTCACCTTCCTCGCGCCATCACCTTCACCATTTTCACCTCCATATCCGCGCTTCCTCCGCCGTCACCTTCCGCGTACGCGTCCATATTCGCTGCGTTTCCTCGCGCTTCCTGCCTGTTATTAATCCAAGCCAAAAACATCTCCAAACCCATACAATTAGAACAGCAAACAACTTCGCATTTTTTCACAAAGTCCTCAGCTTCATTTTGCATACTTTATCCTAGTCTAATTCACGCTATTCCGCTCTCTTTAACATACTTAAACTAAGTCTAATTCACGCTACTCTGCTCTCTCTAACATACTTAAACCAAGTCTAATTCGCGCTATTCTGCTCTCTTTAACATACTTAAACCAAGTCTAATTCACGCTATTTCGCTCTCTTTTAACATAGTTAAACCAAGTCTATTTCATGCTATTCCGCTCTCTTTAACATAGTTAAACCAAGTCTAATTCACGCTATTTCGCTATCTTTTAACATAGTTAAACCTAGTCTATTTCATGCTATTCCGCTATCTTTAACATACTTAAACCAAGTCTAATTCACGCTATTTCGCTCTCTTTTAACATACTTAAACCAAGTCTATTTCATGCTATTCCGCTCGTTTTAACATAGTTAAACCAAGTCTATTTTATGCTATTCCGCTCTCTTTAACATAGTTAAACCAAGTCTAATTTACGCTATTTCGCTCTCTTTTAACATAGTTAAACCAAGTCTAATTTACGCTATTTCGCTCTCTTTTAACATACTTAAACCAAGTCTATTTTATGCTATTCCGCTCTCTTTAACATAGTTAAACCAAGTCTAATTCATGCTATTCCGCTTTTTTTAACATAGTTAAACCAGGTCTAATTCACGCTATTCGCTCTCTTTTAACATACTTAAACCAAGTCTAATTTTACGCCCTGCCGTCTAGCTTGCCCTGTTAAACCCCCATACTAAAATCTCCGATTTTGGCTCAGAAATCATTAGCGCTGGCACTTAGCGATTTTCACGCAAAGTGTTTCTCGCTTTCTGCCTGTTATAAACCCGATACTAAGGTCGCCGAATTTGGCTCGGAAAACAATAGCAGCGGCACTTAGCGATTTTTGCGAACAAACCTCACTAAGCCAAAACAAAGACTTTGACGATCTTAAGCTTAACAGTATTAACTCTCTACCAGCACTTTGACCGGTTACTTTCGCCGCCCCATAGCGAAAGTAAATCACTTTAACGCA